TATAATCTGCCCGAATCCGGACCCTGGGTAGCCAGTCGAGTTAGCGCCATGGATAGAGTACTGAATTCAATACTCCGACTTCTAACTGACCAAAAGGCGTCGAATAGACGGACTACTCAGGCACCAACACCACAGTTGTTAGCCCCAGTGGACAAGGTAAACACCTACTTTCAGCGTATATGGTGACACTTCCCTTTTACACGTAGACAGTTGTTAAAACTACAACCTTTTACACCTTTATAGGTTGCCCAAACGGTCTGCTTCCATCTGGACTTACTACCTGTTCTTACAGGCCTAATCGACCTGATACGGTCCCAACGTTACTTTGACTTTCCCGTTGTACCGACACGGTAAGTTGTCGTCTCTCCCTAAAGCCAACTGTATGTCGTAAATTGACCCTACTGAAATAGCATAAGTAGTAATTTTCAATTACGTTCCGACCCTATAGTACGATCACGCTAGCATGCAGCGTGCTCAACCTACTCTGTTTCGACAATTCGCTGCCTTGTTGGCACTTGCTCTTCACCAACGACTTGACAATCCTCATCGACTGCCTCATCGTGAAACTTACGGTGAGTACACTTCCTTTGTACTTCTTCCTTGTCGAAAGAGCGCAAAGAATAACGTGAGTGTTTTCTGTTTTTCAGCGTTTGGAGACCTCCGAATTTCATGAGAGTGTCAAGTCTCTGGGCCAGGGCTCCTCCAAGGCTAAATCCTCCACAGCTGGCGATAATTCCTCAACAACGGCGGCGGCCTCCACACCACATCCTGCTACGGTACAGGAAGAAAAGACCTGTGTTCGCGGCCTCTTCAGCTGCCTCATCACGGTTTTAAACGTACTTGGCAGCGCCGCATCGCTGAATCAGTTCGTAGCTAGTGATCCTGTTCTGGCGGCCAAAAGCAGTACGGCGGGAGACACGACGAGTAACTGCGGACCAGAGAAGGATGAGTCCTGTGTTTCTGCCTCCAACAGCAAACAACACGTGAAGACTCCGGCTTGGTTCCGACCCAAGGCAATCACCGTCGTAAGTTTTTGATGCGGATCGGGTGGGGGAGGGGATTTGGCACTTTCTTTTTTTAATTCCACTACCCAACTAAACCCCCGCCTTTTGCTGTTTTTAAATCAAGGATTTCGTGGCCTTTATAAGCAATTCTGGTCTCATGGAACTCATTACTGCCCGCCTCTCCTCACCAACCCTAACCAATGAGCTGATTCTGTTTGGAAAGACGGCGACAGCCGGGCCGGACTCTGTCAGTGAAGGAGGCGCAGAATCCGTCCGGACGTCCTTGGCTTTCCTAATGATTGAATTTCTCACCGCCACTGTCAAGCTTCTGCCACAGTCAAGCGTACTCTCCTCCACGGAGACGAGGACCGACGAAGCGAAAGCTGCGTCACCGAGCGGGCCAGGTGGTGATGGGTAAGGCATGACTAACTTGTAACGGCATCTCCAGAATATACAAAACATACTACTCACTAGTTTTCAGTAACACTATTTTATTTAGTCAAATGTCGTGTGCGTATTGTCGTTTCTGACTTTTGCTGTAAGCTATAGAGAGTTGAAATGCGTTCGCCTGCCTTTCCAGTAATAAGGCTGAACTGAACTCATTGCACATCAGTAGCAGTGACATTTTCTCAATTTCCAGAATTTCAAACAGCAAACCCTCGTCATCGAAGAAACCGCGGACACAGCAACAAAGCACGGCCCCCAGTGTGTCTGCTAATGATTCCACATACATTTTTGAGGCAGCGGCAGCTACTGAGGTCTTTGGATTGGTTGCTCTGCTCTACGGCGTCCTTCTATGCCCACCGACCTCAGCGACCTCCGGTACGTCAAGGGCATTTTGCCAGGAACAGCAGAATCATTAACGACTAGTAAATATACATATACTGTCTGTCGGTTACCTTTAGGCATACCCAGCATCTCACGTAGAGAGGGTTGGGAGTCTGCGGAATCCACGGCCTACCTCAGGACACTGCTCTCTTCGGATGCTGTGGGTGAGGTGATCTTGGCGGCAATTCGCCTCATCAATGGGTTCATTGTGACAGATCAACGTGAGATGCAGGTGCGTCCGTACGCCGCTTCCACACAGTGTTCTCTTGTTTTTCTAAAACTAAAAGCATAGTAGTTTCCCTATTTCATGGAATGTCAACAAAAACTCGAAAATTTATTTTCAATTCGAACGAATAAATTGAGTAGGATTGTGAGACTGATTAGCCTACTGCCTAATTTGAAGATGTATAAGTCACGTCTGGATGCCCGATTTTGAGGGAGCTTATTTCAGGCCGCCAGCAAAAAATGGTCCATCAAAATGATTTCTTAAGTATTAAACATTTTGGCCGTTGATATATGTTTTATATGTTCAGATATGTTTTATGGAAAACATACAGAAAAATATGCTTATACAACATTATCCACATCCATTACGACCTTTTTTGGAAACTATGTGGATTTCTCATGACATAGAGAAATATGTGATTTTCCTTAGAGGGAATGTATACAGCCCGTAGTTTGGAAACCGCCGCCGCTGCCGCCGCCGCCGCCACCACCACCATCTTCCAAAAATGCCTACTTAACTCGTTTGCCAAAACCTTTGCTCTGTAACGCCTATGGAGGCCGCCCGTTTAGCAACCAAGAGCATAAACATAAGTGCATGCCAGAATAGGAACAAACGCTGTAGCAGATCTTGTTTATTTGTCCATTAAATGTATTCGCAAACAGAAGTGTTAGTGATACTGAGCCAAGCTAAAAAATGTGCTAATTAAAGTTGGCAACGAGAAAGCTTAAATGTGAGCTGCAGTATCATTAAAGGCAGAAGGAATTGAAGCAGAAATAAGTTTTATGATACCGTTTATGAGGAAACCCATTTATTTTTTTGTTATGCATTAAGAGGGATCGGTAATATTAGTAGTAATGTCACTACTCCTATACTTAATAGCATTAATATTAGTACGCGCGTAAGTAGTGTTGTAACGGAGGCCCAGGCCGAGATATCACCGCCCAATAACGCCTTGTGTGAGTCCCCAAAGG